TATGATTCCGACATCGTTGTTCGCCGGGCTAGATCGTTGATAGCGATCGTCGAGTTATCGAGACGCGGACGAAGGTACCTGGTGGAGAAAATTGCCTGGCCTCCAAGGACGTTCATTACTCCCCAAACCGCACGAGTACCTCACGAGCACCTCCTGTCTGGCGCCACGATAATGAATAACCGGTCAATGTCGCCGCACGCGAGTATTTGGACTCCTGAACGCCTCTTCGATCGCCACGGGCAGAATTTAATAATTACGGCGGAATTAAGATCGGCTTAGAGATGTTTGTACAGCACACGTAAAAACGCAGAGGAGATCGCATCTTGATGGCCGTCAAGTTTATAAGTATTTCTGACACAACGAAATCCGTATAAACACGATTCAATCTTTAACAGAGCCGTCTTGCATCGATAAACGTTAAAATATCCAAACATAAAATACGAAGCTTCTATTTACTCAACATTATTCAACTCAACTCATTCTCAAAGAGTTTACAAATTTAAAATTTTCATAGGGCAAGTTCTTTTTTTTATTATAGAAGTGTCAAAATTTCTGATATCTGACATATATAATGCCTCTTGCTTTTAAGGTTTTAATATCCAGAATTATAATTAGATTAAAAAAATCAATAATTATTGACGGTCTTCCTAATTTATGATAATTAAAATTCTGTATAATCTATAAAACGTTGTAGATAAAATGATCTCCTTTCATTACAAAGAGTCCAGCACTCCAAGAGTCTTGCAATAAAAGTTGCTGCTGATGAAACATTGAACTGTCAATATTTCTTCAATGGAAGCATCCCGGCAGGACGCTGTTATTAATGTCGCCCCGCCCTCTGATCCAGCACCGACATTGATCACAGTGAAATTATCGCGTGATTTATACGAGTATTATTAGTGCGATTATTAGGTCGCAAGAAAGAGGATTATGTGAGGTATTCACAAAGGGAGAAAACCCTCGTTTACCATTTTTTTTTCTCTGTGCATGTTCGGTAGCACAAGATTTCGATCTCCAAGATCAATTTAATCGAAAGTTTCCATGTTTAAACAGCTGCTTACTTAATTGCTATAATCTCTAACTTGCAGCAAACGCTCGTATCAAAACATGCATTATCCTCTCTTTGATAGCACTAAAGTCTTAAGTGGCTCCATTATGTGCAAACGTGAAAATTTCAACGACGGTCGTGATCCGAATAATCCTTTCCTTTTTATTCGCTACAAGTCATGCAGAGAGGGAGTTATGGTTGTTACGCACGCAACTAAAAGTTTCTGAAAGGTTCAACTTCATTTTTAATACGTACTTAATTTCTCGGCAGCACTGACTTCTTAATCAATTAACGTATAACGCTGATGATGGACCTATTTGCGTTCGAAATCGGTAAAAATAGTTATCAGATGCGTCACGATGTTCATTTGTTTATTTTCAAACCATTAATAAAAACGTAAAATAAAAAAAAGTTTCAGCATCGGTAATTAAAGAGATGCCAAAGTGCTTGATAGCAAATTTTCTCGATTGAAAAAGTCGCGATTGTCTCGCCGCGAGCATGAATACGATTCGTACTTCGTATTCCGTCGTAATCCGACGTATACATTTATGTACATCCTCAGGGCTATGAAGCTAACTAGGGCTTTCGTGTATTCCGTGAAAACCATTTATGTACGGTAAATGTACATAAACGGGCGCCGAGAACCTCGTCTTAAGTTCGTACATGTATCTGCGATCAATGACCCCCTATTTTCGCTGATCACATTCATCAATGCGTGCATTATTGATTTACCTTCCCGGTAGCAACAGAACCATAAATCATCCTTTACGCTGGTAAATAACAGGATCTTCGATCAAAATTTTTTCGTCGAAATGGTGCATACTTAGCTTTATATTATTAAAACATTCGACTACCGAAGTTTTTTGTACGGATATAAATTAGTAAAGTATGTAGGTTGTTCACAAAAAAGCATTCAGCATTTGTAGATATAATATCTTGTGAGTAAAAAAAGCCTTAGTAAACATAGGTCGAACTGTTTCAATAATCTGTACAAATTAAATACGCACAAATTAAATGTAAATTAAATAAATAGCATAAATTAGAATATAGAATATTTAAGATTTATAGCATAAATAGCATAAATTGGAATATAGAATTTTAAGATTTATATAATAATGTAACAAATTCTTATATTTCAATTTTCTACAAAGATCTTTTAGAACAATTCATTTTAGTGCTCCACAGCCCAAAAAATGGAACATTGAAAAAGAATTACGAAAGATATAATAAAACTAACATGTTTAGGAATAATTCGATATAAATTCATAAATTCGCTGATGAATTTTGCTCAGGTCGTAATAATCAGGGATACTTTCTTTATGGCAATGGATTTATTACAAAGTTGCTGTTGAAAAATGGCGGTGGCTTGCACACACAGCATTACATAGTATTTCTATAGTAAATATTATCTAGGATGCATGTCTTATACAAGAGAGGATTTTCTTAAAGATACCGTCTGTAATATATTGAAACGCTTTAGAAATGTACATACGGGAGAGTAAGGTAGAATATAATCGAGACCTTTACAGTCTACAAACGTGAGCAATACGCGAGATATGCCCGCATACAAGCTGCCCAGAAATTAACGTCGCTGCTTTCAATTACGTGTGTTTCTATCTTTTCCGTCGACGAACTCGAAATTTACCTTCCCGTAAACGCTCGGCTCATCGGAGAAGCGAAGACGATTTCGGAACACCCCGTATACATGTTTCTCGCGAGTTTCGCGGAAATGTTACTCGCGCTTAGAGTATGAGTGTGCTCGCTCGATATTGCGTGGCGAGAGGAACTATCTCAAAGGACTGAGGTAATGTGAGAGAACGAGCTACAGTTGTAATCGCTAAATAATACAATCGACGTTACGGAGGAGAAAAAGAACGAGCTTTCCCGCTGATGATGAGATACTTCCTTTGTCAGCCTTAAGATCTAGGGAACTTACGGAGCTAGGATACGCGCGCGGAGACGCTGCCGCGACAAGTCGGTCCCGTCCATCGCAGCTGCGGGGCCCCGCCGGCTAATTTAGGGAACCGTCGATCGAGGGCCCTGGCAGTTGCAACTTCCATCATCTACCTCTTCATCGCAGAAGCGTGACCGCGATAAAAGCGCACGAAGGGGACTCTCAGTCAATGATTTCGGAGGCTGTCAAACGTTGGAACATTCGGACGCGGTCGATTCATCCGCTAACAATAGATATTTCGACATATCTCGTGATAGAGTATCTTATTTAAGCGCTATATTTGTTTTATTTTTTACATTTTTATTAAATGCCTTGAAGTACAGGACATTTAAATAATCTGGATCTAAACATTTCTTGTATGCGTTAAAAGCGATGAGAAAAAATTCCGACCGTTCTAGCGTTAACCGCGGCACAACAGCAAATAATTTGTTAAGTTCCCTTCGGCGATTAAATTAATCGCTGATCAATGCAGATCTCTTGACACGGTGACAACGTATCTCTTCAATATACAAGAAAAGACATTCTTTCGTGTCACGCGAGATCGCATCGTATCAATCGATCGACGATCTCTGATGTTTATTATACGAAAAAGTTTGAAAAGATCACCGGCAGGACATCGGATTATTTCTGTGTCCCGATGCGAGTCCTTCCGACGAAACGCATGCGTGTTGAAGCCAGCCAAAGTATTCGTTGCAGTCAAAATATTTGGAATCCGAGCCTTCGGCAGAGCGAGTGCGACTCGAGATTTCTTTCTTACCGGAGATCAAAGATCAGAGATCAGGGATCGAGGGTCCGTCGCGGGTACATCCTCGACGAGTGCACAAAGGTGGGATTCTCGTTATACGAGATATTCAGTTGCGAAGACACGTCTCGATATACGCACGTGCAGGGAATCGTTGCCGGTGTAAGCTTAAAAATCAATCTCCAGTCGCGCCGATATCGCATCGGGATTAGACAACAATTCTCTCTTCGACAATTTGTGCGTTCCGTCAGGCACGATTCCCATTTTAATTCCTATACTGCAGTTATGATAACGAAACGACGGTCATACGAATCTGTTATCGCGCCTGCAGGCAAATGTAAATACCACGTCGAACGTCGTGTGAAATTTGCAAACGAAAAATTACCAACGTCGTCGATATTAAACGTTAAAATTGAAAAAATCGTCCAAGCCGATGCGTGTCAAGCAGAGAAGCGCAAGCTTCTCGACGCACCGAAATCCTATCTCCAGTGGCCCGCGAGTAGCCGCGTTTCTCACTTGAATGTTTCTCGCGAATAGCTCGTAAGAAAAACGTTCGACAGCCACTTCGATCGGCTGCCACAATCGTCAAAGGCCATCGAGCAGCACCGCACACAAAAGTTCGTACTTTCGCCGCCCAAAGAGTAACTTTCATCTGTCAAGCGTTTCGCAATGACTGTGAGCATTCGAGATTCGACTTTCGTGCGTCGGTCCCGGTCGACCTTTCGGGTTCCCGCTGGTCGGCGGCAGATTGTCTTCGGTCGAACGGTCGAACTCTTCCTTAGATCCTAAAATCGTTGTCCTTAAAATTAATTGTTGAGGCAGTTGAGTTGGCAAGAGCAAAAGAATCAGTCGTGTTCGTCTCTCGTCGACGACATCGCCGAAGGCACCTCGAGGGAGTCCGCAACTCGCGCCGACAACTCGCCGTCGTCGTCGTCGTCATCATCGCGGGATCGAGTCTTCCTGAAGAAAGAAACAATGGTTTCCGTAACCCATCATTAGCTGACATTGAATGGGTCTAGACTAGAACCCCATTGTCTACAGGACGATTGCAAGACGGACGATATCGCGTGGATCGTTGCAATTACAGCCAGATCGAATTATTCTTGATTTTTGAAACACAGCACGGATTATACGTGAGGAAATCGGTCCAGCGGCGTTGCGTGATCCTCTCCCGAGGTATCGGCGACGACTCGTCGATTCGTCTCTTTCTCTCTCTCTCTCTTCCTTTCACTTTCTTCCCGTTTATCCACGGGCGCTCACAACGCGAGGAACTTCATCAGGGCGTCGTAGATGAGCTGGGGATTGATGGTGCCGTCGGCGGTGTATCTGACGCCGCGCAGCGAGCCGTCGTCGTGGCTCACGACGCCGTACTCGCCTACGATGAAGCCGTCCGGCGTTCTCTCCTCGACCCGGTACTTCCGGTAATTCCTGCCCTCCACCACGTAGCCGACCTTGTGACCGTCCTCGCCGGACGCACCCGGGGTCTCCTCGGTGACGACCAATTGCGGCCCGTGGACGTTGCCGTTGCTGCCGACGCTGACCGACTCGTCGATCTCGTAGTTCTGCTCGTCGGGCTCGCCGTTCTCCTGCTGACGGTCCACCGGCTGACCCTCGGAGTCGTACACCTTGCTGGGCTCGCCGTACACCTTGGCCGGCTGCGAGTAAATCTTGGCCGGTTCCGAGTAGATCTTGGCCGGCTCCGAGTAGATCTTGGACGGCTCGGAGTAGATCTTCTCCGGCTCGCCGTAGACTTTGGCCGGCTCGCCGTAGACCTTCGCGGGCTCGCTGTAGACCTTGGCTGGCTCGCTGTAGACCTTAGCTGGCTCGCTGTACACCTTAGCCGGCTCTCCGTACACACGCTCGGGCTCGCCGTACACCTTGGCCGGCTCGCCGTACACCTTGGCCGGCTCGTTGTAGGTCCGCGGCGATTTGTACGCCTTCGACGACTGGCCGTAAGCCTTCGGGCCCGACCGGTTGTAGAGCGACGTGTCGTAGTGACGGCCCATCTTGCGCCCTTGAAGCCGATCCGTCGATATCTCCGGCACTTCCTCGTTCAACTCCCGCCGTTCCGAGTTCTCCACGGGCAGCTCGTAATTCTCCTCCGTCGGCAGGGTGATCGCGTCGACGTCGATGATCCGCGCGGCCTCGTTGGCCTCCTCGTCCTGGTGACTCTTCGCGGGGACGTGAACTCGCGGGGTCATGGTCACGCGGCTGCGCCAACTCGTTCTCGGCAAGTCCTCGTCCACGGAGAACTCGCTTCTGTTCGACTCCGAGACGATGTTGCTGAGTTCCTCGGTGACGAATCGACCCGGCGGCGGCGGCGTCGCCGTCGTCATCGTAGTCGTCGTGGTCGTCGTCGTCGTAGTCGTGGACGACGGCGGCGTCGGCGGTCTGCTGGTACCCCTCGCCGTGCTTCTAGTTGACTCCCTGATGGGCTCTCTAGTAATTTCTCTATTCGCCGCAGATTCTAAACTCGGTGGTCGCGTAACCACTGCGGCGTCCGCGCTGTCGTAATGCTCGACGCGCACTTTGTACGGCGTGGCCTCAACCGTGGACGTGACGCTGACGCCAATCACCTTCTGCCGGCTGACACCTCTGCCGACGGCGGCGGATCCGTTGGTCCCGTTCGACCTCGAGATCGTTCGATCCTGGTGGGCCAACGTCGGCGCGCTCGTCATCGTCGTCGTAGCCGCGCTCGAGGGCGTCAGTCGCGTCGAGCTTATGCCGCCCGGCGTGCTCAGATCGTCGATCAACGACGCCAGATTCTGCTGCCGGTTCTCCAGCGTTTTTTGATTTATGGGATAGAAACGGACGACCTCCTCGCGGCCGCTCGTCTGCGGCCGCGACACCGAGATCGGCCGGCCGCCGCTCGCCGGGTTCGTCCGAGATATTCGGTAGATCGACGATGCCTCGTGCTGATGCGACTCGGCGGTCGCGCTATCGCTCGCTGCCACAGCTTGGTGACCGCCACGCGGTCGGAAGCCCCGGCGTCGTGGCGGCGGCGTCGCCATAGCGCCGTTTATGAAGACCGAGAGGAATTCCGTACCGGCAAGAATATCGCCCTTCTTCGCCGGAGCGCCGCGCGCCTCCTCCCAGACTAGTGCCGCCTGAAGCAGTACCTGAAAAACCACACGATTGCTAAGTATTGCAATTTCGATTGTCTCAGAAAGGTATTTATTTCATAATAAAATTTCATAAATAAAAAATCAATTCCCAATTTGTCTCTTACAATTAGAATTAATAATGTGACTAATTGTAAGGATTGAATAGGTACACATTAAAACAGGACATATATTTGTGAAAAAAATTGTATTTATATCAAAATTATCAAAACTGAACGCGTAAACTAAACGTTTGATGTTTTCCACTCTCTTTATTACGCGATCGCTCCCCTCGCAGCATAATTGAACCTTAATATAAATTTTGTTTGGAATGAATAAATAAAAGCACGCAAATGAAGCTGTATCGTCGTCCGAATTACCGTAATATCCAACGTGAAGAGCCCGGGGTGTAACATTTACAGGATATAACATTTTAATCGCGCATCTTTTCTGACGTCGTTAAACGCACGCGGAACCGGCGGACAAGCTCGCGAATGTCTTAGTTGATCCCTCCGCCTCCCTCCCGAGAGATGAGAAGAAAAACGCGAACAACGGCGCGATCGTGTCGAATCCATGCCGAGAGACGATAAACCGCTTTTATGCGTCCCCGCGTTTTGCACGAAGGACGCAGGCAGGTGTGCATCCGCGCGATTTATAAATTGCCCGACGTGGTCGCTCGTAAAGTCCTCCAACGACAGCCGCTCGCGATGAAAATCTCGTATATTTTTACGGCGGACCCGTCGCGGACACGTCTCGACTTCGTGGCGCATTACTTCCTGTATAACTCTTCGAATCTCTGAATCTCTCGAAATTTTTTTTTTGCAGCTATACGAGAATGTAACTCGACTGCGTGGAGAATGGAACAAGGAGATTCGTTTTGCGTCCAACACATTTGAGAGGCTAAAATTAATAAAATCTCACAATCTTTTCTTATGACAAAAATAAATTCGAGAGTGCCTTCTACGTTATTTTAAAATGCTTATAAGCGTCGGTTTATTAAGAATTGAAGATCAATTGTGATCTCGCTATTTCAGTTTCAGCTAATGATGATTGCGTCGCAAGTCTGACATTGATTCGGCGTGCAGTTTAAATAGCTGAATAATGGATTTAAAAATTAGAATTTATATAGAATTTTCAACGTAGAAGGCGCTCTCGAATTTATTTGTGTTATTCATACACGCGGTCTAGTTCAAATTATTATTGTCTTTTATTATGACTTTACAATGCTAAATCAGGTTATTTATTTATTTCGATCTAGATTGTACATATAATTAATTCTTTAAAGCGACCTTGGAGGAAATCCCTATTATTTTATATAAAATTATTTATATTATTTATATAAAATTATTTTATATAAATGCATTTTATGTGCGCGCAACAAAATGACAACATGACTCTTCTAAGTCTTAATCTCAATAATAGACTAATTATAACGCATTGTACGTTCTCTTACTATTTATTATCATATATGACACGTTCCGTGACTTTCAATTCCGAGCATGAATTACGCGTTGCCCAGAGGACGCGGATAATTACCGTCCGTTCCGATTTTTAGTCGCTAGTTATCGATCGCGTTCTTAATCGATTTCCTCTCACTGTTCTCGCGCCGTGGGTTCTATACACCTATGTAATGTAATATAATAGTAGCCGCACGTATAATAAGATACGTGGCTACTACTGCGAGTGTAATATAAGGTACCTGCGTGCTCGAATTCTTTGTAAACGCGACCTTGACGAGTCGCGCGGGGCAAGGAGCCGCGCACAACGTCGCGAATACGATATTTATGCGGGAGCGAACGGTCTATCGGGATCCTCGCTCCCCGTGAAGATCCCGGGGCGCGGTACAGGCGAGATTATCGCCCAAACATAGAAATCCTAAGTCTAATAATGCCGGGACCATTACGCGCCCGGGACTCGCATTTGCAAACAATGGCGAGCCGTTGCATCGACACGACGATCGACGGAAGGGAAGCGGAATCGTCGCGCGAGGTCTCCGTATAGGTGGGAAACCACGCGGAAGAAAACAAGTATCGACGTTTACGCGGAGCGCGAGAATTCAGATAACAATCACCCAGAGGAGGGGGGAAAAAAACATCTCTTCGTTATCTGGTTTATTTGTGCAGTCCTCCGCGTCAGAGTTCAGGAATTTCGTGACTATTTAATGCGAACCTTGAAGCAATTTTATAAACCATTCTTTTTTGTGCCGTCAATGGTATCCACATTTGAAATACTTGTATACGCAGGGACAATCATCTACATTCGTATGCATTATGATTACAGTGATCATCGTGGAGGCTGTACGTGACTTCGGTCGTGCGAACTTGAGCGATGGGTTTCACGCCAGGTCTCGGGTGCGAAAACAATGTTGACGCACCGAGAGAAAAGTGTTTGGTATTTGCAACTATAATTGCGCGGTAAAATAAATTATGGTTAGGAGTCCCATTTTCAGAGCTATTACTATATTTTAGTAATATAATTTTAGTAATAATAATTCTATTTATTATAGTTCTACGAAACAAATATATATAAAAATATATACATTATGGTAATTGCAACCATTTTTTTCTCTAATCAGTGCGTTCGTGACGTTCCAGAGATTAATCGTCTGTTAAAAAATGCGATCGGAAAAATCGATTTTCGAATCCGCCGAGATAAGGCACGCTCGAGAAGATTGGGAAAAAAATCCGGAGAATCGACGCGCGGAAGGACATTCCTCGGGTGCCGCGAGAAACGAGGGAGCGATCGTAATGAGCCGTTCGACACTGCGAGCGTTTTAAGCATTCGACGGCCATCCCAGCGGCAATTAGGCGTGCGTGCTTCTCACGTGCCGGGGAATCCGCGGCCGCGAGATAGCGGCCACCGCTGATGCGCGCGCGAACATAAACGCTTAATTTATCTCTTATTACGCGATTGCCCGGCGACATGCACGGGAGAAAGGGCGCACAGAGAGTTGCCATGGGCGCCGCAAGAGACATGCGAGAAGATGCACTGCTTTACATTCACAGGCTGGAGGCGGGAGAGAGAATTTGTTTGTGAAAAGTATCTGCAATAAAGATTTTATCAAACATTTCTTTTTAAATATTAAAAATAAATATTATAGCAAGTGAGTAAGGTGCAGTGGATATAAAAATTGTGCGATAAGCAATTACAGAAGATTAATAAAATATACATAAAAATACAAAGGAACATAAAATATATGAAAAAATCTATATATGATAAGTATGTTGCAGCAATAAAGTATATACTTGAAAACGAGCAAGAATATATTAAAGTTTGAAACATATCTTGAGAAATCCTGACGACGCCCATGGATCTCTCTTTACCCTGATGACGTTTCACGGGTCGAGATAAGAGATGCAGACGTGTTTTGGAAAACTTAAGAACGCCGGGAATTATTTTAATTCACGTCGGAGCAAATTAGCGAAAATGGTTTCACGAACATGCTATATAATTTCGATTAGCTATCAATGCACTCTACCGACAAAGTACATGTGTCTCGCGAGGCGCGTTTAACGGTGTTATTACCGCGATACCGTATAGACGCGATGGCTGTACATGAAAAAAACGACACGGGAGGAAAAAAAAATTCTTTTTTTTTCTCGTTGAACGCGAGGTTCCTTATGCGGGCGCTGCACGGCGGTGATATAAAAACCTGCGCGAATTTTAAAGATCGCGAATATAAAAGTGTCCGGACCTCCCGAGTTTGATTTTATTGCCGGGCTCTTGCTGTTGCGTTACAGCGCATCGTGTTTCGTGTTGCAGCACGCCGCGCTGGATTTTTGCGACGCCGAGAAGGTCGCTGCCGTCCTTGCCGCGACCCGAGTGACGGTTCGCCTGGCAGAATGGTTAAGATTAAGCGCACCGCGTCGTGCGATTGTCCAAGGACTCCACAGTTATTTCATTTTATTATCTGATTTCTAAGAATCATTTTAATTCACAGCTTAATCCCCCCAAAAATGACATGATTAAAGAACAAGTCAAAGGTATAATTAACGATTTTTGCGGTATATATAATGTAAGATTTTATATGAATCGTATAAATGTGGCGATCGATGGCGCGACAGGCTACGCGTCGGCTTTTTGTGCCAAAGATCCAGGTTCAAACACAGTTCCACTCAGAACAATAATACAACTCTATCGGTTTTAACCGATTAGAAGCGATCGCCACCTTTCGGAAGGCAAAGCCGATAGTATAACACTGGGAAATCTCTTCTAGGCCATTCTTCGGAACTGGCGTACTGTAGGTCTCGGATATGTCTGCAGATATATGTATAAGAAGAGATCGTCTACACGCATAACAAGCGTTATGGTGCGCGAAGAAATCGCAAGAAATCGATCTGCAGGAAATTCGAATATGAAAAAACTAGCACACCAATCGAAGAAATCAATCTGCAGGAAATAAAAAAAAATAGTTAGCATCTATTATTATTGTAGGAAAGTTATACTGACAATAATCTTTCGAAAATTTCTCTTATCGAAATATAAGGCTGCCCTTTAATTTAACGTTCCAAAGCACAATATTCTTGTTAAACAAAGACAACGCTTTGAAAGCGTTAAATTAAACTGCAGCTTTATCTTTCGATAAGAAAATCTTCGTAATATTATTGTCAGTACTTTCCTACAATAATAATAGATTCTACCTATTTTTTTTATTTCCTGCAGATTGATTTCTTCGATTATAAGAATGATTCTATTTTTATACATGGACCCATGCAGACAGAATGTGCATGAAGCCACCGCTGATCGTGTCGCGTTTCTCGCCACAGGAGAAACGAAGCTGATGCAGGCGCAAGGGTGGGGTACAGTGTAGGTGACAGGAGAAGGGTGGCAAGGAGGGACCTGCGGCGTGGGTGTATACGTAGCTACTTTACGATACATGCGGCGCGACGCATTTATTTTCGCCCGACTCCGTCGTCGACACTTTTCACTTAAAAACGCCGAATTTTAATATTGCTAACATAGAGTCGCGTAACGAGTAGTGACAGCATTTCGGGTGGGAGGGAGGACACGATAAAAACCAAATGTTCATTCCGTCAAACCAAGACCAGATTCGATGTTCAGAACGTTACCATATACGTTTCTTTTTTTTGTGTGAGTTATTTTATTAACGACGCTGTTTCGACAATTATTTCGATAGCGATTTAACGCGCATTTGCAGAACTTTATCCTCGCTTTTATTTCTTATCGTCTCCCCGCGATTGCGAAACGGAAGGTAAAGAGAAGGAGGAGAGGAAGAGGCGGAGGAGGACTAAGAGTTACTCTGACTAAAGAGGCCGAGATCCGCAAACCGGTATACCACCAGTACCATACTCTTACATCGACGGATAGAAAAAATGCGCCCGTATGTCTCAAGAATAGACGCGCGTTTCGAGAATAGAACATGTGTTAAGTAAAATTGTGTCGCGAATATTAAACA